CATTACTGGTTGGTGTTTGGTGTGGTTGCATTCTGTTTGCATTACTGGTTGGTGTTTGGTGTGGTTGCATTCTGTTTACATTACTGGTTGGTGTTTAGTGTGGTTGCATTCTGTTTGCATTACTGGTTGGTGTTTGGTGTGGTTGCATTCTGTTTAAGTTGCAGGTTGGTGTTTGATTTGGTTAAGTAAGGAAATAAAAAATTCTTTGGTGACAGGATTGTTTTTTTCTGTTCTTATAAATGGTCTTACAATTCTCAGGAAGTTGTAAATTTCAGGCAAATTTTTCCCCATTCCAGTAACCCTACATTTTATAAATAAGCTTTTCAATCTATGTGAGTTACCTGATAAAATGGCATTTTTCTTAATAACTCATCCATGCTGCTGAAGTCATCACGTGATGAATTTGGATGAGTTTGAAGTAGCTTTCGAGCATCCTCTGTACGCCCTTGAAATACGAAGCAGAAGACCTGAAAATATGTATACTTCTAAATTGATGAACTGATGATTTTATGTTGCACTTTGTACACATAAAATAATATTAACATTACCAGACAATAATTTATGAAAATGTGGTTATGTGAAAAATGTGACGTTCACAGAAAACAAGATTAAAAAAATTAAAGAATATCCATATTACAACTGATAAACATAACTGACAGACACTTCAAAAAGAAACTTAACTATTTTTTGTAGTTTTTCCATACTAATGAATTACAAATTGGACATTTCAGTTGACAATAAACTGTGCTTAAGGTTTGAATAACTAAAAATATGTATAGACAGCTAGAGCATACACCTACAGCATCCCAGGCCTCTTGTTGTTCCCACGGGTTTTCCTGCTCCAAAACAACTTCCATTTTTCTGTCGCCCTCTGTGAAATGAAGTCGAATCCATTCTAGTAACTGGCACAGGATAACACCACCTAGAAACCAAAACTCATGGAATTAAGTCAAGTTTAATTATTATTATGCAAATATATCACCTTTTATGAGAAATATATGATAAAATGTTTGTTTTTCATTATTAGCTTAGATCTTAGGTTTCATATTAGATAAGGTAATAGAAATGACCCATTCTGTGTACCAGACATCACCTTTCAATGGCAAACATTTAACTAATTTGACTAGTTCGAATTAATTTTCTCCATTACACTGAACTTCTTTTTTTTTCACAGGTTTTAGTACTTTGACCAAAGCTTTTAATTAAAAAACACATTTGTCCTGACTGATGCTTTGAAGAAGTTTTAGCAACCAATCACAAGTAGACACTAACACAGACATTCAGACTACTGTTAATCTTCAGTCAAGGAATATTTGCAAAACAAGGATGCACTGCTAAATGACTTAACGCACACAGTTGGCTAAATGCTCAGGTCATCCATAATCTATAAATACAGATCAGAGAGAAGGCAACCAGTCATACATCTGAAGTTGTCTCAAGAAAAGTCTGTCACTGACAAGCTTTAATCTACTTCAACACTGACATTTGTACTTTCAGATTTTTATAGTTAAAGTGAAAGCACAAATTTAACGAATATGATTATCTTAGTTCTATAAAACCTGTTATTTGAAGTAACTAAAAACAATAATAGATATTCACTAATTGGATTTTATTTATTAAAATAAGTTAAAAGTAGCATTGTTCACAGAGTATTTCTAAAACTTCAACAAATAAAGATTACATTTCTTTCCAACAGCATTTTTCAAATAAAAAAAAACAAAAAAGACTTATCCAGAAATTAATAATAAATAATTGGTATATTTAAGAAAATTAACGAATTAGTATAATATTTTTCCTATCAACCGAGCTTAACATTTTCACTAATAATTGATGTTCTTTTTATCATCTACAAACAGTTCTAACATCCTTTAACTCTCTCTCTCTCTCTACATGGGCTCGGTTGAACTGACTAACCACGTGACCACCTTGTACTCGTTATATTTTTGATACTAATACCTTTTAATATGATAACTGTATCTTCACAAAATTTAGCAGACTTTCAGTAAACATTATGTCTTTCACATAAAAAAATAATAATTTTTTTAGTGAAGTATTTTTAATAAACTAAAAAAACCTTTGTCCGTGAATATACAGTCTTTTTTTTTAGTTGTCCAAATGCAAAGTGATTTTCATGTTAAGATTGAATGTACTTTTCTTCATCTCAAGTTTCATTTGTGTAATTTCTAAAACCCTAAATAGATTTCAAAAACTGTTTTCAGTAAAATTTTATATCTTATCTGTTATTTTCTCTACCCTAACTCGATACAAGGTTGGTCAGTTTGTTCGACCCTGTAACCACGAAAAAAAATTGAAATGAATCTTAAATTACCATTTTTTTTTATCTTTCTAAAATGACTTTAAATTGTAACATGAAACTACATTTGTTTGTCCTAAGTAACTTAAAACTCGTAACAGTTTACATCTACTTATACTTAAATTTTATTGTTTTATTGCCCTTTGAACTGTGTCTAACTATCATTTGCACCATTATAACATGTAAGTCACTTGGGAAACGTGCAGCTCACATTGCACTATCAAATTAAGTTACCCATGAGCTACCCTGAGCTGCTTGTGTGTGTGTGCTTTGTGAAAAATTATATTATTATTATTTATTCTTCCAATCTATCCTTAACTCACCTAAGTAGTTTCCTACTGTTACATTTTAGTTACTTTTATAATAATAAATAAAGAATACAATGAAAAACAAGAAATAAAGTACTTACATGGGCCTTCTTTTTTTTTTGCTGTCGATTGTCAATGACACTTAACCCTACTTTTTTTTTATACTAATGGTAGTAGTGCACTAAATAATTTTTATTTAATTAAATAATGCACCAAAAAACATAGAATACTCACATGCAAAAAAGCAGACAATGTCCCATAAATATCACAATTTTTCTGGCTTTCTAACTATGCGACAAGATCTGTTACAAATTCATCCAAAGTAGTCGATATCTTTCGCGTACGATGGCAAAAGTATTTTTATCCTTCACGTGAATATTACCTTACATTTCAACTTCTCAGACCCCGAGTTAGACTGACATCATTAATTCACAGACATATCTTGAGTGCAAATACTTCATTAATACATGATTTTTGTGTGCAACAGTAACTTCTACTTTTTACTAAAAGTTTGCCACATTTTGTGAAGATACAAGTAGTAGTTTTGGAACTATATTATTTCTCCAATACACAGACTTTATAAGAGAGAAATTTATGGGCATAAGTAAAAGTGATTAAAAGACAACAGAAAGAACAGTGATTAACTTGATTCTGTTGAGAAGGTAGTATTTAAAAAAATTGTTAGATTATAGGTGTAGAAACAGAATTACTTTGTTAACTTTTAATCAAATGACGGTCACTTTGAACACTGTTTTACATCTTAATTACCTTATTATGTATGCATTTAACTGCCCAGTTAATACAATATTATCAGATTTAAAAAACAGAAAGGTCACATAGTATATCTATATAACACATTTAGAGGTATTATGAATTAAAAAAAAAGTGACCAACTTGTATTGGTCACCATAGGCTTAGTATAAAGTAATAAACATGTTTTAGTCAATACTGGCTCACCAGCAAGCAACCAACACACGCTGATCGATAGTGGCTCACCAGCAAGCAACCAACACACGCTG